CGCTGGATTACTACGCGTTGGATTACTACGCGTTGGATTTCTATGCGTTGGATTACCACACGTTGCATTACTACGCGTAGAATTACCACGCGCTGGATTATTACGCGTTAGATTACCACGCGTTAGATTCCTACGCGTAGAATTACCACGCGTTGCATTACTGCGCGTTGGATTACTACGCGTTGAATATCCACGCGCTGCGATTAACTACGCGTTAGATTCCTACACGTAGAATTACCACGCGTTGCATTACTGTGCGTTGGATTACTACGCGTTGAATATCCACGCACTGGATTACTACGCGTTGGATATCCGCACGCTGGGTTACTACGCGTTGGATTACTATGCGTTAGATTACCACACGCTGCATTATTACGCGTAGAATTACCACGCGCTGGATTTCTACGCGTTGATTAACTACGCGTTAGATTACCACGCGTTAGATTCCTACGCGTAGAATTACCACGCGTTGCATTACTGCGCGTTGGATTACTACGCGTTGAATATCCACGCGCTGGATTACTACGCGCTGGATTACTATGCGTTGGATTTAGCACACGTTGCATTACCACACGTTGCATTACTACGCGTAGAATTACCACGCGTTACATTACTACGCGTTGGATAACTACTCGTTATCCGAAGCTGTCAGCTACCCATTTCAGGGACACTAGTTATGAGACGCCCTGTATAAACTTCTGAATGTATGGAGAAAACTAAAATTATGAACAATGAGAAAAAGAACTTTCTATCGAATGTAATACTTGATTATTAGATAATACTTAATTTGGTATAATTTATGTTTGTTACAGAATGCGCACAGATATGACGAGAATGGCTTATCTTGAAGTAATCATATTTTTATGTAAGTGTAATAACTTTTGTTTATTTAAATATTACTCAACTTCATTAAAGAGATTAGTTAATTAATACATTATTAATTGATACAGTTATATTAATACAATATATTCTCAATGTGTTATTATTTATCGGTTATTGACAGAAATTGCTTCTTTTAATTTATATCCGTAACAGTCTTAAGAAAGAAAGCAATTTTATAATTCTGTGAAATGAGAAATTGTTTCTCTGAATCCGACGTTTATGTGCTGTTCAATTTTCCAGGTTCAATGGTTACTTTTATGCCTAGCAACTGTGAAACAGAGGTGATTATAACTGCTAATTTGTATTAAAATTGAAATGTTTTATATTGAAGTACCTTTTATTTGTTCGATAGTAATATAATAGAATTAACACGTTGAGTGCCATAGAAAGTTATTATGACAACTACACTCTCGCTATATGGCCATAAATAGAACTGCAGGAACAGAACTGTAGAAGTCCATATAAAACATCTTGTAGACAACTTTTCATTCAAAATTACTTGCATTTATCGAAGTTTCTAAATTGTCAAGCTTCTAGACCTTAAATTAATAAATTTCTATATCTCAAATTTTATAATTCAGAAATTATGCGGCACTCAACGCATTAATTTTCCAAAAACCCACAAATCGTTTAGAAAAGCGAATAGCACGTAGAAACTTCATTCACAAGTTGCATTCCCTTTCTAGTCAGAAAATAGCAATAAAAGAGCAAGTTTGCCGAAGTTCCTATCCGAATTGGATGTTTCGAGCGTAGAGGCGTCTGTAGAGAGCGATGAATCCCTGAAGAAGATTGTCAAAAGACTAGCACCGGAGAAGAATGGCGAGTACCAAATTTATCAAGGTTCCAACGCTAATTTACTAACGTCGAGATTTAACTATTTAATCCTCTTCCATTCTTCTTCTAAAGTACTTTCTTTCGCGTCTATTTCCCAGTCTTCTTCGGCAATGCGGATCTTCTCAAGGAATGGCTCAAAGGAGCGGGTATTATTAATAATATCGTACAAGTACTGCATTAGCCGCTTTCTCTTTCAGCTTCCTATCTTTAGAATAATGTGCATGCATCCTGTCGGTATATTTTTTTGTCTCAAACAACGACCACCGATCTATCAATCGGTTAGGAAATTGATCTCGTTCGAGCAAAAACAGCTTCGTACTTTGTTACACTTTCAGAAGAATATTTCTTCTTCACTGTGTTCTAATTTTCACAGAATTATGTAGCTGATTATTAAACCACAATAACTGTTTTCTTTTTCTATATGTTTCAACTTGAATATTCTGCTCTTTATTAAATACGCATGTACTTTTATATAATAAAATGATCATAGTTTTCACTCGGTACCAAATGTAAATATTTCATTTGCACGAATCCAAACTCATTTTGCTTTCGTACTATGATAAAACCGGTGTATCGCAAACGGAAAAGTTTTGTTTCGCCAAGAAAAATTGAGAGGTCGAAGAGATTTTAAGAGAAGAGTAACGAGAACCGCTTTTTCCATAGGCGTGACAGGTCAGCCTGGAGTAGATTTCCCGGCTCTCACCACAATTCCGGTCACATCGTTCAGCTGTCGCGGCCTGAAAGGTGGTTACTACGCTGACTTGGAGACAAATTGTCAAGTAAGCGATGAATGGCTCGATACGTATCTCGATTCAACGTAATTGCTTTAATCAAATTGCAAGATTCAACCTCGTGTTTCTTGTTGCGCAATGATGTAATTGAGCGGCTCAATAAGCAGAACGTTCTCGTGCATGGAAAGTTTACGCATACGATTTCGTGAACGATATATGACCGCGCGTGACAAAGTAGAAGAAATTTTGAAAAAGACGCGGTTCTAAAAATTGACTCGAATTTTGAAAGTAATCTTTTTCTTTCAGGTGTTTCACATCTGCGACAACGGTCGCAAAATATCGTTCCTTTGTCCAAACGGTACCATCTTTCAACAGTCGCAGTTGATTTGCGATTGGTGGTTCAAGGTGGACTGCAGTAAATCTACGGAGTTGTACGAACAAAGCAGCGAAGAACTGGAAGAGGAACGGCGTCGAGCCGAATCGCGAAAGCCAAAATTGGATTACCAACAATCGATCGAGAACGGTGGCCAACAGGATTATTACGACGTTCAGAATCTCAACTACGACGGCAGACAAAATGGGAGGATTAAAACGTACGAGCAGCCACCGGAGAACCACGTGCAGTCGAACAGAGAGAGGATCAAACAATCTCGACACTTCGACACCGGCAATAATTTCCACCAAGAATCCAATGTTCCGAGGGACAGTAATCTATTTGGTGCCAATGGGTTCCAATCTGGTCAGGCTTCGAAGTTCAATCAGTTCGCAAGAAATACCGAGGAAGGGAACGTTAATAGGTACTCGACGACGAGCCAGAACTATTACAGCACCCCGAAGAAGGCTCAGAATTATCACGTTACCAGCAGGAATTCGAATAACCAAGAGAAAGGAGCTTTGAAGAGATTGAAATTCAAGAGTTCAACGAGGAGCAACTCGGTCCCTACAGTTTCACAGAGGGTCACACCAGCGTACACGGAGTCAACCACCTTTCGTGCAGGTAATACTACGCCCATAAAGGAGTCTCAGCAGGTGGCGGAGAGTGCAGCTTTCGTTGGCAATCGTGCAAATCGCTTCGACGAAAATTCTGGCAACTCCCATCAGTATTACTACCAATTGTACGTCAATCGCGATTCTAGTACGCGAAATTACGACTCCACGACCTGGCGACAGGAGAACGATATTTCGACGCAGAGAGAGTTCCTACCACTTGTAACAACCACGGTTCCTTACGAAACGACTCAGTACAGTACTGTAGCCCCATGCAACGACGAAGTCACCTCGGAAATAACTGTGGCAACGAGTCCACCCACGTTCCCCGACACCCCACCAACTACGGAGCCGTTCCCTAATAGTAATTATGATTATCGATCGAGCCAGGGCACCACCGTCCGCAGCACCTTCGTGAATTATTACGCCAGCGATAACAATAACGATAGGACTGATGCGAGTAACTCGGGAACGCCTTCAACCACTCGTTCGTACGCAATCGTTGATAACTATCGCCGAAACACTGAAACTCCTAGTTCTGTGTACTTGAAGTTCACCACACCGGTTCAGAGTTCTGGGCGAAGTACCGAGAGTCCCGTGACAGGAACCGTGGATAGTCAGTATAATAAATTCGAGGCTAAACCTTCTAGCAAGAATCCATCCACGATTTCGCCAGGGTATCGACAGAACTTCATCAGCAGCACCACGGAGAAGCCCTCCAGGACTACGGTGTTTTATCAACCGACCATGACGGAAAGGGATTTGAGTCCTTATGATAGGAGCTTCACGTACAAGCAGGGCAAGGTTATGTCCACGTTAGGTCCATATGTACCTTTCACCAGGAATTATTATTCTAATTCGACTACCTCGAAGCCTACTCCGTACACTCCGACGGTGCCTACGTACACCTCTGCTAAGACCCTCATACCGAAGCTGAAGTATCCTACTCCGACCACCTTGAGCAAGCTTAAAAACAACAGATTGTCGGAGAGGGAGCACGCGTTGAGTATGCTGCACTCTTTGAGGAACCTGGAACATAAGGTTCCGAGTCTGTCGGATGGCTTGAAGGTTGAGGAAAGGCGATCAAACGCGTCCGCTCCTCCGGCTCCGTCCACGTTGCACTCTCTGGCTCTGTATTTCTCCACGGTTACCGAAAACTTCGAGTCCAACGAGACCACGGATTCGTCGATCAACTTCGAAGCTGAAGAGGATGTAGAAAAATCGGTGATCACGAAGAAGAGTAACGGAACCGTGCAGGTACCTGCTGGTCTACTGACTGAACATACCGTTAACTCGTACGTCGAGTTGTTTAAGCTAAACGACTCTTCTGACATCAATAACTTGACGACTGAGGATCGTTCGGATAACACTAGTTATAGCGAAGATTATAACGATGATTTAGAACTGCAGCAAAGTGGAGGATCTCTGGATGAGCTGCGGAAGTCCAACAGCACCAAACTTCGAGAGCTAGCGCAGGTGTTCACTCATGCCTTGTCCGCGTACTTGCTGGACCCAGATTCGTTTAAGAGAGTGCTGACTGAGATTAGACCCACTGAGCCACCTACGACCACTGAACAATGGCGGACGACTACTGCGTACTCCGATGCAGAGGATTATACTTCTTCGATCAAAGAGAAGGACGAGGTGCTGGAGTTTTCTGACGATAACGACATCAGACAGAAGTTGACGACAGATTACTCGACCACCTTTGAACCTTCTACGACAATTAAGGATAACGTAGAGAGCTTTAGCACCTTGCCGAGTACTTATTATACCACTCCTAGGACGTCATTTCAAGATGTGTACGAACCTAGCACGAATGTGGTGACCAACTCTGCGACCAGCGTTTATTTTGACACGTCTGCGCCTCCGACGGAGGATACCTTCACTGCGGATCACCCTAGCACTTCTTACGCCACCGACACGAGCTTTCATAGTCAGAAGATCGGCAAAAATGTTGGGGAACTCGTCACGGACAACTATGTTCCTTCGGATGAAACTCGGAATAGAGTCGGAGGTTTTCAGAATAATAGCGCTTCGATTATCACAGAACCATATGGAGATAAGCCTTTCGTTACCACGCCCATAAATGACAATCACCTTGTTTCACCTACACCTTCTGCGCCATCGGTGTTTCTACACATGGTTACACATAATTGGAAACAGAAGTCCACCAGCAAGAAACCTGAGCAGCAGCTGACTCCTCCGTACTTCGAAACGCACGCGGAGACTGTTCGTAGGGACAGTGAGAGAATTGTTTCGAAGCCTGAAAATTATGGTAGCACGGTGACTGTTCGATCGAGTACTACAAGTAGAACTACGGACTCGAGTACGATTACAGATTCTAGAACTACGGATCCAGATAGAATTACAGATTCTAGAACTACGGAACCAAGTAGGATTACAGATTCTAAAACTACGGATCCAAGGGCTCACAGACCCTCACATCACAAATCCTTGTTACCCGAATCAAAACCTGTTCCTGCTTCGAGTTTCACAAAATTCAGAGACCTTTATAATCGCGTGGAGGACCACACCGAGACCACAGAGAGGCCTCTGTCCACAACCAGGGTGCCAGAGTACACAACGACCTACACCGACACCACACCTTGTTCAAACGACTACACCGAGTCTACGAACACAAACGAAGAGTCGAAATTGAACGACGATCATTGGACATCTTCCCCCGCAGTCACCCGTCTTTGGGAGACCTCAGTGTTCGTGGATCCTCAACGGATCAACCACGGGTTAGAGTCGGATCTGGGCACGACCACTTTAGCGGACAGTTCTACGGAGAACCAGGATCAGTTGGACTACACGAACATGTCTCTTCAGGAAGAGGTGTCAGACAGTTCAGAGGAATTCTTGGAGGATCTACCTTTGACGCAGCGGCTGTCTAGGGACAGGGATTCACCTACGACCTTCTCCCTGTTTCCGACGACCTTCACGACGGAGACGGTGACTCCTAGGCCATTGACCACTCGACCGAGTATCACCACCATCGCATCTACCAAATCTTTACCTAACAGTCTGCTGACCTCCACGGTGTCTGTCACTCCCATCGGCCTGTCAAACTTAGACAAATCCAACGGAACCGAAAGCGAGATCGCTGAGAAGTTGTTTGGTAAATTAAACGTCTCCAGCACGAATACCCTGATGAGGGTGATGAAGCAAGCCGACAGCAACGAGACTGTCAGACAGCTGGTGCTGCTGTTGGTGCAGCACTGCAGCGACCTCGCGAACCAGACGATGCAACGGGAGAAGGAGGAGCTGCTGAAGACGTTGTTGGAGCTACCTGTGAACGAGTTCTCCTCAGAGGAGTCGAAGAACATCGTGGCTGGCATCAACCAGCTGAGCTTACCTGCTAGGTCGAATCAGGTGAGGAGCGCTTCCACTACCGCGGTTGTGACCGATCCTCCGGTGACCACGTACAGAAGTAGGAAGAGTCGCAAATTTCGAACGACCACGGAACATTCGGCGAACTTCGTGAGGCGAGCGGAAAAAGGAACGACAAACAACTCGTTGCTGGAGGACGAAACCACGGTGTCGGATAACAGGGCGCTGGAACTTCTTCGATCGTTGTACACGATAGCCACGAAATGGGGCTGAATTTAGGGAACGTGGAGAATGTGTTGAGTAGGGATGGGGGCAAGTCTCTTTCGAAACTTATGTTGTTTGTCCAAGATCGATTGGATCGGAGTCTTTGTTTGTAAATTAATAATTGCATAGTAGGGTGAATTGTTAATATTTATGATTTGAATTGGTTTTTGAGATCGTTGTTTCATTGTAAAATTTTGTGAGGTAGAATTATACGAATTTTTTAATCAGTGGGGATTAGTTTGTGGGTCCACTGAGAAGTTTTACTGAGGAATTCGAATTCTGAGGACTCCAAGTGCGGAGTATTTCTAAAATATTACAAAAGACTTTGAACAACTGATTGATAGTGGACAATGTTTAAGTGTACCAAATTAAAAATTAACACGTGCGCTACCAGCTTGATTTAATTTGAAATTTCTTTGTTCTAGGTGCTTTCAAATATTTTACTATGAAAATGGATCTACTAGTACCGAACGTGTTAATCCTGTCTTCCGTGCAGTATGTTCGGTTCAGGGACGAAACGTAATAAAAAGTTTGCAATAAATTTTATAGCAGTCGATTTAATAAAAGGATTACAATTAAAAGATGATACAATAATTCTCGTAGATGATCCAATCATTTTAGAAAGTTTGAAAATATTGTCTATAACAAAACCACGCATACTGCACAATCGACGCACGATTTAGATCATTAATTATCCGGTTAATTCAAATCGATTGAATAACTCAATTGAACGGTACGAAACTAGATGATCGTTCACGCGGGTGATGGGAACGTAATTAAATAAAAATACTTTGAATTTCACTTCACGAGCACGAAACCTTTCAGCTTCTATGCACAAAGTGACGAAACGACTGCCGATTAATTTCATTTGGATCACGCACGATCGCGGATTAATCGTGAATCTGTGTGACGTATGCGGATAATGAAATTCTTTGGAATTCCTTCGTTAGAGTGTAAATTATAATTGTATGTACTTATAATTGCACCCGTTTGTAACAGTATTATATTCCCTATTTACGTACAAGCATACTTGTATTATAATTGTTGTACATCGTTCGTTGAATAAATTAGGATTTCGATGTTTAGATTAAATAAATTATCTCTGGAGGAGATATAAAGCATACAGCGTGTCTCACAACTAGTGTCACTGAAATGGTAGCTGACGCGATTCTGTGTAAGATTTTCCTCTGCAAAAATGGGGTTTGAAGCTTCGTTTTTGAATTATTAAGGAAAAACGCGGACCAATCAGAGCGC